TTATTTTTTGATAAACATGCTTCGTCGTCAAAAATACGTGATGATGATTCAGGTACCGATAAAGATGCTCCATCGTCAAATCATGGAAGTATGATAGTTAGTAAGTATATTACATACACACACACACACACACACACACAATTTTACGTGTATACATTATATATAATTGTATAGTTTGAACCTAAAAATAGTTTTTTTTCTTGAGTATGTAATTATTAAGTTTCTTTGGGCATATAATTTATATAATTTATATAATTTATAATGTTACAAGTTTTTATAATTTTTAAATCTTAAATATATGTACATATATACATATATATATATATATATATATAATTGAAACACATTATCAAAAAATAAAAACTTAATTATTAAATAAAAATAAAAAACAATTATTTAAATAAATTGTTTTATTTTATTTACAAAAAGTAATATATAATCGTTATATATATAAATTAATATATAATCTTTTATATATAGGTGCTACATGCAATTCAACTTGCAGTTGCTGCAATACAAGACTTAATGGTAATATAGAGTAATTATATGAGTGCAAAAGTTTAAAATATGGATCTAAATAAATTTATTATAAATATTATTTAATATAAATAAATATATACACACACATTAAATATTTATAATTGTATAGTTTATTACTTTCTTTTAGATAAAATTGTTAAGAATTTATTATCCCAAAATTATCTTATAAAAAGCGTAGTTACTGATGTTCTGTCTGGAGTAAAAGAAATTAAATTAAAATTAACACATACCCAAACAAATGCCAGAGAAAAAGAACAAACAATTTCAATATTTAACAATAAAGAGCTACATTTTCCACTTCAAACAGAAGAAAAGCTTCAGATAGTGGAACATGTCTTGGAAAACAAAGACGAAAATACTAAAGCGGAAATTAAAATTTAGCGTAAACACCATACCGTATGATTTTTTTTTTATTCAAATATGATTTATTTAAGATAAGTACACATAAAAAAGTATACAAAATCATCCATTATAAGATAAAAGTTGCAATCAATTCATTGCAGCACGAATATGTCAATTTGATCAATATTTATGTAATTGTACATGTTTTTTCTTTTTTATTTATAAAAAAATGTTCTAAACAATTGTGTTATTATTTATACATTTTAACACTATGTAAATAATCGTTTAGAATTAAATCTACATTTATACAACATATTTCACTTCAATTAGTATCAGAAACATAGTTTCTTTAGTTTGTACACTATGTCATGTAACAGACTCTTCATATATCATACAATATAATTTTCAATTAATTTAAAACCTTTTCTATGTGTATGTGTGTACAAAATGTTTTTTATACTTCTGTCGTAATAACATTTATTTGAGAC